CTCTCACTTGATTGGGTAACTTGTTTGGCCGTGATTGGCTTTAGTAACTTGTTTGGCCAACAGAAAGCAGCGAATGCATTTTTTTAAGATTCCTAAGTCTGAGTGATAAGAAATCTTACAGATTTAGCCTGTTTTTCTTAGAACACTAGCTCTGGAGGAGCTAAGTTCAGTTATCTTGAGGAAAGCCAAAGCAAGCTGCATGAAACAAACACATGGGGAAACTAAATCTCCAGGTAACCTTCACCTACTCTGTCATCTCAGCTAAGGTACAAGATGCCTTCAGGTGACTTCAGCCCCAACTGCCATCTGATCACTACCACGAGACAACCCTAGAAAAAACTGTATCTAATTCTGATTAACCACGGAAACATAAAAGACAGTTCTGAATTATAAAGTTATGAATTATTGTTTATGAACATTTAGGGAGAAATTTGTGTATCAGGAGACAACTAACATAATGCATGACAATTGCTATTAGAAATCAGAACCAAAATGAACAGAGCCAAGTGGCTCATTTTGACTGTGGGGAGCAGCAGAGAAGTTTCTGCATTTAGTCCTTGAAGCGTATGAAAATATTTTGAGGGAAACTATAGGAACAAGATTAAATACAGAATACTGCAGGGCCTAGTGGTGCACACCTGTAATCTCAGCACTCAGGAGGCTGAGGCAGAAATATTGCTGTGCTACATAGGGAGACCCTGTGAAGGAAGGAAGAAAGGGTGGGAAGGAGGGAGGTGGGGGAGGGAGGAAGGAAGGAAGGAAGGAAGGAAGGAAGGCAGGTTGGCAGGCAGACTGGGGAAACATTATGAAATGTTTCAATGTATTGTTTGATAATAAATTTATACCAATATTTCTAAGGTTCATTTAATAAAAACAAAAATACAAATGAAATACACCTTTCTTGCATAAATATATGTCTAATGTAGCTATGACTAAAACTAAGATCAGTAGTTAGAGTATTAAGTGACAATTTTCAGAATAACTTCCAAATAATTTCCTCATGTTATTTTGCTAGTTTTTCCTCCTTACGTGAGTCAGATACAGACACCGTTAACATTTGTCTGTTGTAGTACTGCTATTCTGGTTTCCCATTCTATGGAGACCAAATCTGTGGGTACAGTAGTAAGTTGCTTGTATTTAGGGGAAAACAGATTAGCCTGCTTAGGGTCCCATTTCTGCATGTACTAAGGCATGTAAAAAAAAGAAACTTTAGGCTAAATATTTTTATCTTTATCTGTCTTGTTTTAGATTATCAATATATCATGAAGATTTTTTCATATCATTAAATGTTGCTTTGAAATATGATTATTATTGGCTAAATATTATTCTATCCCTGTGCCTTTATCATATTTAACTACTCCCAAAAGATGAACATTTAGGTTATTAATTTTTCCTTCCTTTAAATAACTTTCAATGTTCATCCATAGCATAAACTAGTTGTACACATTGATAAATTTTGCTTAAGAAATGAATAGATGATCTTTATTGTACATTTTAATTATACATATCATGATAAAGACATGAATGATGAAATATTA